CAAACAAAAACAAAGCATAAATACAGGACAGAAATAGACTCATGGGCAGAGAATACAGACTTGTGGTTACCAGGGGGGTACAGGGTGGGAAGGGATAGACTGGGATTTCAAAATTGTAGAATAGATAAACAAGATTACACTGTATAGCACAGGGAAATATACACAAAATGTTGTGATAAATCACAGAGAAAAAAATGTGACAATGAGTGTGTATATGTCCATGAATGACTGAAAAATTGTGCTGAACACTGGAGTTTGACACAACATTGTAAAATGATTATAAATCAATAAAAATGTTTAAAAAAAGTACTGTATATGAGAGCTCACCCTAAAAGGAAATAAGTAAGTATGATTATAACAAAATATATGTGGAATCTCTGTGCTGAAAACTCTAAAATGCTGATGAAGGAAATCAAAGAAGATCTAAATATATGGAGAGACATACCATGTTCATGGATTGGCAGATTCAACATAGGAAAGATATCAGTTCTCAAACTGATGTGTGGATTAGATGAAATTTCAATTAAAATTCTAGCAGAATTTTTTATATTTGAGAAGCTGACTCTAAATCCACATAAAAGGCACAGAAACTAGGATAGCCAAAAGAATACTGACCTTGGAAGAATCCACTCTCCAAATGTAAGACTTACTTTAAAATGACAATAATTAAGATAGTGTGGTATTGGCAGAGGGAGAGGCTCATAGATTAACAGAACAGAGAGTACAGACATTAACACAAATATGCACAATTGATTTTTGCCAAATGTGCAAAGGCAGTTCAATAGAGAAGGGATAGTATTTTCAACAAATGGTGTTGGCATTCATACCCACAGAAAAGTAAACCTCAGTCTAAACCTTCCACCTTACACAAAAATTGAATCAAGAGGGATCATAGATCCTAATGTGAAGCATAAAACTCTAAAACTTTTCAAGGAAAACATACGAGAAGAGTTTTGCTACTTGGGGTTAGGTAAAGTGTTCTTAGACATCACTGCAAAGGCATGATTTGTAAAAGAAAAAAGTGACAATTTGGACTTTATCAAAACTGAGAGCTTCATTCTGTGAAATACACTGTTAAAGAATAAAAATACAGGCTATAGACTGAGAGGAAACACTTGCAAATCACATATCTGACAAAGAACATGCATCCAAAATTGTAAAAACTGTCTTACTCAACAAACAATCCAGTGGAAAGAAAGTGGCAAAAGACTTGAACAGGAGACAGCGTATGGATGGCAAATAAATGTGTGAAAAGAGGTCCAACATCATTAGCCAGGAGAGGAATGCTAATTAAAACTACAACAAAATACCACTATATACCTATTGGAATGTCTAAAATTAAAAACGCTAAAAACGCCAGGTCCTGGTGAGGATTTAGCAATATGGAACTCTTACACATTGCTAATTGAAGTGTAAATTTGTGCAGCCACTCCAGAGTGACTTGGCAGTTTCTTATAAAAATAAATACACAGATATCGTCTAGCCCAGAAATCCCACTTCTAGGTATTTACCCTGGAGAAATGAAAACTTATGTTCACTCAAAAATTTGTACACAAATGTTCAGCGCTGTTCTATTTATAGTTACCCAAAACTGGAAACAATCTAACCATCCTCCAATGGGTGAAGACACAAAACAGCACATAATTCATTAAAAAGGAAGAAACTATTGGATACACATACATATATCCTGGGGGATGAATCTCAGAGGCAAGAGGAGCCAGTCTGGAAGGATTCCATACATATGATTCCATTTATATGAGAGTCTTGAAAAGATAAAATTATCGTGATGGAGAACAAACAGGTGTTTGCCAGGGGCTGAGTCAGGAGGAGGGTGTGACTAGGGTGAGGCAGCACAGGGGTTTTTTGGTTGGGATTGTTCTATGTCCTGATTGTGGAGGAGGTTATACAAATCCAAAGGTATGTTTAAATTCATGGAACTGTTCATACCGAAAAAGTCTATTGTCATGTATCTTAATTTTAAAACATATTTTTAAAATCATATTTCTTTTTTTTCACGTAAGATCAGTATTTTTACTCTACTGCTTGGCATTTTATATTTGAGTATTTTACGGTAATTTTAAATGGTCTACTAAAAAGTGCTAAGACATTTCAGTATATGACAAACCAATAGCACACCTAGAAAGATACAGAGGGTATATTTAATGGAAAAATGTTCCAAAGGTCAGTCTTTTTGATCACCTCTTCCCTTTCCCAGAATCAGCCAGTTTTGCATGATAGAGCATGTACTCATACATAGCTAAAGGTCGTATTTCTTGATGGGGTAGTTTTTTTAATCAAGAAAAAATACACATTATGGCAGAAATTGTTATTGTCCCCTAGTCTCTTCTTTAGAATAACGAGTTTTCTCTGTGCGAGTGTTGAAAGGGCGCACGGCTGCCCAGCTGGAGCCTGGTTTCAGCCTCCCTTGCAGCTAGAGGCAGCCCTGTTAACTAGGTTTTGGCTCGTGTGATATGAGTCCCCCCCTTGAAAAAGAAGCTGAGTCCCCTGTCCTTCCTTATCTCCTCCTGGAGGTGGTGCTCATGAGCTGCTCTCAGCCACAAGCCTCAAGCCAGAGGACAGCCACCTGTTACTGAAGCAGAGCAGGGCCAGCTGGGAACCTGGATGACCTCATGGAGTGGAGCCCGACCTTCTGCGCTGGACTGTTGAGGTGAGATAAAAAGACACTTTGAACTTGAGTAGGCAAAGGCATTTTCATGATTTCTTTGTCCGATCAGCTTCATGCCTGACTCCTTTTCGGCCCTTAGATTGCAATAACCCGCGCAGGAAACACCGCTATCTGGAGACTGCGCCACAGACGCACTATTCAGAGCCAGAGTAAACCCAGATTTGCAGCCAGTGCCTGCTGAGGATACGGTTGTGTACCATCCCTGGTGAAAGTGTTACCCAACCAAGCTCGGGTCCGCTCGCCCGTGCACGGACACTGAGCTGTGGCGAAGGAAGTGCAGTGTTTATTGCGGGGCATCAAGCAAGGCGTCCAGGCAGCTAGTGCTTAAAAGACCCGAACTCCCTGAAGGCTTTCAGGGAAAGGTTTTTAAAGACAGGGTGGGGCAGGGGGTGGTGGGGTTCATGATCAGCTCGTGGACATTCTTCTTTCTGGTCGGTGGTGAGGTCATCGGGCATCAACACCATCAACCTCCTGGTTCCAGTTGGTCTGCGGGCTCTGTGCTTGTGGGCAGCACACAGTTAACTTCTCCCACCTGGCGGGGGTTTCAGTGTCTGCAAAACAGCTCAAAGACATGGCTCAGAATATTATCTACGGCCTTTGAGGAGGAACTAAAGGTCCTTGACTTTGTTTAATGGCTAAATTATTATTATTTTGTCCTGCTTGACTGTTTTCCTTTCTTTCTGCATTTTCTCATTTCTCTGATTAAATATAGTCTTTGGAACTCAGGGAAGCCTAGGAGACTAAAGTTTTTCTACAGACAAGAGGCAGATGGAGGACTTGGGGAAGGGTCTGTTCTAGGAAGTCCCCATACGTTCTACTCGGTTACAAAAGGAATGAGTACGATATAATAGTTAAGGGCTCGGTCTTTGGAGCTGGGAAGCAATGGGTTCAAGTCCTAGCTCCGCTTCTTACCACCTGTGTAACCTTGGGCAGCTGTCTGAACTCCTCAGAAATTCCATTTCCTCTGCCCTAAAATGAGACTAAATAATAGCACCTTCCTCTTGGAGTTGTTGCGAGAATTAAATGTGATGATGGACGTAAAGGAACTGGCACATAAACAAGTTTTCAGTCAATGTGGCTTGTTCATTCATTCATTCATACACTGCATGCCAATTAAGTGCCTGTTGTATGCCAAGCACTTTTCTAGGTACTGGGGGGCCTAATGACACAAAAAAAGATCCTTGCTCTCCTGGAGCTTACCCTCCAACTGGGGACACAGACAATAACACAATGTTAAAATAATAATAGCACGGACCAAATCAAGATGGATGGAGAGGGACGTTGTTAGTAATAATAGTAGCTCTGACGTGCGTGGGGCTGTTTGGATCCAGTTTCCTCCCTCAGTTCTGCAGGTGGTGTGGAAAGCTGGGCAGGGTGGGTGAGAGCAGTGAGGACGTTCAAAGACGTGTGCAGGAGAACCCAGGCAGTGCACAGCCGTGTGAGCTTTGGCAGGTGCTCTGCTCTGGGCAGTGTGTGGCTGCAGCCTTCACCTCCAGAGCCCATGACTACAGGGCAGGAGGACCAGCCTGGAATTCTATGGACATGGGCAGGAGACCAAAATCTCTGGTACACCAACAAGATTTCAGATCCTCTGGCCCCATCTTGGGAGCACAGGTGGCCTTCTTTGGGGACCAGCAGCAAACAGAGTCAGCTTTGCCTGACCTAATGGATGGCAGGCTGTTTTTCCTGAGATGAATTGCTCTGTCCATGGGCCAGGAACTAAACAGCAGTTCTCAACCCTGCTTTTCATCAGAATCACTTCTAGAGCTTTAAAAAGCAACAGTACCCAAGCCCTCGCATTCCCAGACAGCCTGCTTCAGTGCAGCTCAGGGGTGGAGACCAGGCACTCTTGCAATGTTCCAGAGTGATGTAGAGGTGGCCTCCATGTTGGAAGACACTGGCCCTAGATCCAAATTTCATGCTTAAACCAAATCACAGACCCCTCCAGGCAGGAATGGTCCAGATGCTGTGTCTCTGTAGGGCCATCTCGTTACTCTCCTCCCCAGCCGTTCAGAGAAGGGTGACCACGATGGGGAAGGAAGTAGGAACATTCCCGAGGGAGAAGCGGGCAGCCTCCCAGCGGGGCAGAGTTCATCAGTCACGCTCTCCTCGTGGCCCGGGTGCTCTCTCTTCACCTCTCCAAGGTCCAGCCAAACTGCAGGCTCTGCGTTCCACACCTCCTCTCTGGCAACAGCAGCCCCTTTGCAGTTTAGCCCCTCTCATTAGTAACTAGGTTTTACAGCTTATAAAGAATCACTGCATATGTTCTGTTATTTAATATGTTGGCACCCTATGAGACAAACGCTATAACCATTTTATGAAGGGAGAAGCCACGAATTTCAATATTAAGTGGTTTGCAAAGGCCCTTTAATCTGTAACTGGCCTAAGAGGATGCATTGGTGTAGGTCAGCCCTCCGCTGGCGTCCACACTTCGGTCTAGTACACACATTTGTTTACAAGCCTTTAGCCCTTGGTCCTTATATCCTGAGTGCCTGGCACTGAGGTGTTTGTTGAATGAATGAAGTGGGCTGAAAAGATGAGGGCGCACTTCTTCTAGAATTGGTTAGTGATCTTAGGAAACCGTAGAAGGGACAGGTTTTGCCTTCTCAGCTCAGAGGGTGGGTGACGAGGACGTGTTCACGCTCCCCGCCCTGAAGAATGGAAAGCAATTTGGCACATGCTGAACAGAAGCTTTCAAAAGAGTCAATTCGGCAATTACACTTCTAGGAATTTTTGCCAAGGGAATCATCAGAGATTTATGCCAACATGTCTATACAGGTTGCTAAAAACACGGCTGTTAATCAGAGTGAGGATTGGAAGGACCATAACTAGCCACAGTGTTTGCTATTTAAATCCATTAAACGTGGCGGTGGAGAGACGCCGCTGCAGAGTGACCCGGGACCCGGATCCTGCAGCCAGACCGCCCGGGCTCCCTCCTGGTCCTGCCACCGACCCGCTGTGCGACCCTGGACAAGTGCTTGATGTTTCTGTGCCTCTGTATCCTCCCTGTGAAGTGGAACGTGCTAGGCCTTTAATGCAGGGTAGCTACTTCAGTTGTTTCCCTCCCACGGAAAATCCTATTGTAGGAGGTTAATGGCATGAGAAATTTTTTCACAAACATGTTATTCATTTTTCTAAAACAAGATACAAAAGTGAATGTTTAGCACAAGCCTAATTTGAATTCTAAAATGTAGCTTTTAGAACTAGAGGAATATGCGTGGTAGCCAACAAAGGTTCTCTCCAGGCAGCAGAGGTACAAGGGGCTTTTCTTTGCGTGCTTTTCTGTGTTTTCCATTTTCTGCAATGAACAGTTTCTGGCCACATTCATACTGAAATGATAAGGTGGGTGGCACGGTGACCGCAGGGAACCTTGAGCTGGGAAGGGTGCCCGGGTGCCAGTCCCTGCTCCCCCAGTAGCTGTGGGTCCAGGGGGCCCCCCTTTCACTCGTGGAATGAAGGCGGGGTGGGGGGCAGAGGCTGGCTTCCTGAAGCCCCTCCAGCCCTGAGCTCCTCTGAAGGGCATGGTTCCTACGCAGAGACATGTCAGCTGCTTGCTCGAGAGGCAGCATAGAGAGCAAGCTGGGGAAAAAAGTTATCTTTAATTAAACGACATGAAACCAGTCTCCTCATGAGGCTGCGAGGAGCCACCCACCCTCCCCTAAGAGAGTTCATGATTGACCGCTGAAGCCTTCCATGAAGGCTGCTTTCAGGAGCTTGTCGGATGGTTCCAATGCCTGACTCATCTCGAGGTTGGCATGAGGTCAGTGCCTCTTCTCGCTCAAGTGGAGGTTCTTCTGCTGCTTGGGTGATGTCATGAAGAGTGGTATCCGAGTGTATTCTGGGCATGTTGCCTGCTATGTCTGGAGGCTCTGGTTCCTCGTTAAATTTTCTGTTCCTCTGTGCATTTAGTATGGGGTCCTGGCCTGCTTATAAGGGCTGTGTTTCCAATGACAGATTTTTCTGAGCACTTGGGGTATTATTTTGGTGCTTGATTTCGCAGGTGCTGCTGGGGATCCCATGGTCCCTGCTGGGTCCCTAAGGGGCAGAGTGTCTCTGGGTGAAGGATGGAGTCTGAGGCCTGTGGGGACAAAGAGGCTTCCTTGGTTGTGGTGGGACCACCTTGCCAATGTCCTCCAGGGCACCCCCATCTCTCCGTGGGCAAGCAGAGTCCCGGGGCCTGGTGGGGGAGGGGAACAGGCAGTGAAGAAGGAGAGATTCTCAGGAGGATGCTGCAGGCCGACCTGCGGGCAGCCAGCAGGTGTGAGGCTCACGGCACTCATTTAGAAGTATTGGCAGCAAACTGAGTAGGTGGCCGCTTCTTAAGATGCCGCTGGCCGAGATGGTGGGCAGGAGCTTCCTGGGGTTTCTCGGGACTCTTACAGCTTCCAGGCAAGCTCCCAGAAGCTCTGGCTACTCAGCTGCAGGCTGGGATCTTCTGCTCTGTGCTCCTGCAGCTCTTCCAGTGGCTGCGGAAGACCCAGTGCTGAGTTGAAACTCTTCATTTTGAAGCTGTGGCCTCTGCTCTCCTGAACTGTGGAGCCACTGGTTCCCCTCACCACGTGTTTCTGTTTTTCTTCCCCCTGGGCTTGATGAAAGACTAGACGGCTGTGCATCTAGTTGAGTGGGTTGACCACTCAAATGCGAGGGCAAGTGACACATGCCCTTACTAGGAAGAGGCTCGAAGAGCCAGTGCACTGTTAACTATGTTCCCTTCCCTCTACGCTCTGGTGGAGGCCCAGTCATCAGACCTCCACTGCTGACCGTCACTGGACACGAGTGAGAAGTACATGGGCGTGAGTTCATTACAGCAGCATAACCTTGCCCATCCCGACTGATACAGAAACAATAAACATGGAGTTGAGCAAACATTTCACTTCACCATATGGATTACACGGTTTGAAGGTGGCATATAATTTCCAACTATGACCTGAATGAGAAAACCAAAACGGAGTCCATACATCTGCTAAACACAAGAGCCACCAAAACAAAAACAGCACAGGTCCTCAACTGTCTACATTTGGAAGGCTTGAAGTTTCAGATTTGTGAATCTTTTTTCTCCCTTCTTTCCAAAAGTATTTCTGGAGCAACACCTAAGGGTCAAGTCAGGGGTGGACGTGAAGAGTAGAAAGACAAATATGATACAACTTCTGTTCTCCAAGAGCTTGTCATCCAGCTCTGCAGATGATCTGCCACTGAGTGAGCCACACGTGATACATGGGAAGGAATAGTACTCACCCATTTCTCCCGCATCTGCCTTGCACCAGCTCTGTGTGCATTTAGTCCTCACCCCAGGCCCTCTAACTGGGAGTTATGATCCCAGCATTGGACTTGAGGGAATCAGGGCTCAGAGAGGACAAGTAACTCATCTAAGATTGCCCAGTTGGTGAGTGGCAGAGCCAGGATTCAAGCACAGATTAGCATCTCTCCCAAGCCGAAGCTCTTTTCAACACTCAGGGCATGGTAAGTGTTAGCACAGAGTCAGGACCCTGGAGCCGAGGGAACTGAGGCTGGGCTCACTGCCGTTCTCCTGTGGTTTGGGGATGAACAGACCCAAACACTCTGTCCTCAGACCAGCTACAAAAAGCCTTAGTACAAGAGAAAAGCAGTTCTCCTTAGGATTCCCAGAGGTCCCCTGCCCTTCAGTGATGGGTGCCTAGGACACCAGCTCTTCCAGTGGGTCAGAGTGAATCCAGCAGGAAGGGAGGCTGTGGCGAGTGGGCACTACCTGAGAGTTACTCCTCCACCAGACTTGCTCCGGCAGCACAGGTCTGCCTTCAATTCACAGAAATTCCAAATGAAAGTGCCCTTCCAGCACGCAAGGAAGGAAGCATGCATGTCCTTCAGTCACCCCACAATAAGACCCTAGGAAGCTTCCAGAAGCAAAAAGAGAACTGGAAGCCACATCTCTGATGAGTCCTGAGCCCATAGGGCGTGTTGCATATATGTAAGCTGAATGCTGGCCAGTAGGAGGAGAGCCCGGAGGCTGAGAACAGAGGGAGGAACCTCTGGCTGCTGGGAGGTAGGATCAGGGAGCCTGTGACACCAGACGCGTCCCGCAGCCCACACTTCTGAGAAAGCCAGAAGGACACCTTGTCAGCATCATGCCTCCTAGTGCCTAGGGCAGTCCGGGCAGGTTATCATCCTCATTTTGCAACCGAGGAAAGGTCACCTAGACCAATTAAGTGGCCTGCCTAGTCTAAGGCAGAGCTCTTGCCTCTGACCCCAGAGAAGGCCCCTCAGGCTTGAACCAGGGACCTGAGCTTCAAAGCAAGTTTTCCATGATGGTTCAGACAAAGATGGAGGGTCCTGTGCTGGGCTTCTGGGCTCTCCTGGGTCATCCACTAACATTTAGGTTAAGAATCAGAAATGAGCATCCATTTCCCCAGTGAGAGTGCCACCAGACCCATAGCTGCCCATTATTCAAGTCCTTGGGATCAATTAGTGAGTTGTAATGCCCAGTTTTACAAAACCCAGACTCTAAGGCTCATTGAAGACCAAAGGACGAGTGTCCATTGTGGAAAAACCTACTTACACCTAGCTTGCAAGCAACTATCAGGGTCCTTTGCAATGCAAAGTCACTCTTTCAGATACTTCCATGATTCTTGCAGCATGATTCCAATGCGGATGGATTTGCTTAGCGATGCAATCGTGTTTGCTTTTCTTTTCCTAGAGATTTCTCCAGAGATAGTTGGCAGCCTCTTTTATTCAAAGGTTGTCTGTTGATTTTAAAACAAAGCAAAATAAACAGATGAAAAACAAAACCTAGTTTGTTAACACTCAGTAATCCCCAACCACCAATCCAAGAGTAGCCTCCGTTTATTTTACTTGTTTGGTTTTATGATTTTTCCATTTTTACTATGTCCTGTGAATATAAAATGGGCTGGAGTTTTAACAAGACACCAGTTTCAAGTGAATAATATTGGTGTGAAGTTAAACTGCATGTTTGTTTGTATTTTCACTTTATTTTTCTAATATTTCTCACAGAGCCATATGGGCTACGTTTATCACCTAGTCTGTCCTTTGTCTCTGATTTTCTGATTCATAATCAGCAAGCTCTGAAAGAGAAGAGAAGAAGGAGGAATTGTCAAGTTATAAGAATCATTTCACTCGAGTCTATTTTAATTTAGTTGAGTATCATCCTTTCCAGCTTTCTCAGACATTCTTATCTGGGAATTATAAGAAAGGACTAAATGGAGTAGAGTTTTATATTTGTAGAATACATGTATGTGCTAGGCATTCCAGCAATAAAAATGCTTTCAACTGCAATAATAAACTCGACTCTAAATGGCATAAACAATAAAGGTTTACTGTCTCACGTCACAGAAGTCCCAAGGTAGGATAATTCCAAGTTGGCAAACTCAGCAACTCAGTGACATCAAAGCCGTCCTCCCTCTTTGCCATCCTCAGGCTTCCCATCACCATCACCATGTGACTGACTGGTTCTCAAGATGACAACGCCCAACAAAAGAAGAGATAGACTCTTCCTCCGCATCTCTTCCTATGAATGAGGAAACCCCTCCCTGAATATCCCCAGTAGATATTCCCTGACATCACTTCAACCACAGTCTACCTCCAAGCCTAAACCCACCACCAGAAAGGGGAGTGGGACTAGCCAGTTATCTTGGGGATGATCCTGACCTCCTAAAGTTGAAAGATTATCTGAGCTAAACCGAGAGGAAGAAGAAAGGATGTGCGTGAACACTCCGAAGGTAGCGCTACACATAACTGATTTCATTTAGTCCCCTAAACGATCTCATGAGGTAGCTGTTGTTGTCCTTACTTTAGAGATGGGAAACAAAAGCCTAGAAATTTCAAATCATTTACCTGATTATCCACACGTAGAATGTAATAGAGCCAGAACTCAAGAATTGTCTTCCCAGTGAATTCAAACTCAGCTGGAACCACTTAAGATTCCAGCTTAGAGGTTACAGTGATTCTCTGTTCTTGATAATTAAGGCAAAGTTAGGCACTCGGTAGATAAAAGCTGGTGGCACAAAACCTACAGAATTTTACAGGTGGTTTTGAGCACCCACTCTGTATGAGGCATCAAACTGGGAGCAGTTTTTTTCATCTTAAATGGTCTTTACTTTTATTATCATAAAATGTAGCTTTGTTGGTTCTAGTGTAATGTTCCAGCCTGATCTTTCATCCACCATTGACTAACGCCCCATTGCCTCCAGGGATTTTTGGAGGCGCTAGGGATAGACAGATAAGAAGCTCACAGCCTTGTGGGGAAGTGGACACACGGACAAGGAATTATAAACCTAGTGTGACTATACATGAAGTAGGTTATGCAAAGTGTGATAGTGATTGTGACAATGACCAATAATTGACTAATTATAAGATTATGAAGAACGCTGTGGTTGTCTTGAGAGTAGTGAAACAGCATCCCACCCCACCCCACCCCGGTCCCACATCCCAGCCCTTAAATTCCCTTTGGAATTGTATCACGTCGGTGACTGTGAGCGCAGGGTCCCATTTTAAAGCAGACACAACTGTTAGTGGTTGATTTGATCAGGCTTGAGACACAGGCTGGGTGAGAATCAGGCACAAACTGATGAAATTACACTGAGCAACTTAATTTTCACTTTATTCTGTGTGGAGCAGACGCCACTCAGCACGAGTGATGATTTCAACCTGCAGAAGAAAGAGGTGGTTTGTAGAGGGGCTGAGAAGGGGGTAAGATAAGGGATGGCCAGACAAGGGCCACTAAAGGGCCAGGGGACCTTGGGAGTAAGAGTGGTTTTCAAAAACTTGTTTTTCAAAGAAATGGTGTTTCAAGTGGCGGACATCAAAATTTATCCCAACTCTCTGGGCTTTGGCGCTCTCAGTGCTTGTGTTTGAGTGAACATTTATGTGGTCCAAACCTGTAAGGCTTCCAAGCAATGAGGAGACTCACTGCTGCACGGCGTTCAGAGTGTCGTGGGTGGCACGTTTCACTGTCTGACCATTCGGTTCGCCTCGTCAGCAGGAGGGGCGTGCGGCTGGGTCAGCGTCTTGTCAAACAAGGGCCTGAAAAATGAAAACACGGAAACTGTGAGCCAGGTTTTGGTGGTGGTGGTGTTTGTTTATACGCGTGACTGAAATACCTGGCTGCTTTCTGAGCAAATGACTCATCGTCTTGGCGATGGACTCAGCCCAGGAAGGTTCCAAAGGGCGGCTGGAGTGGGGTTCCTGTCTCGTTTTTAGGACTGCGCGATGGCAGTGTACAGCCAGCGGGTTAACAAGAGTGAAGAAGTCAGGAGAGAGGTGAAAATACATGATGCTCAGAGTAAATGGGACAAAGAATCCCCTTGATAGAGCTAAGAGGTTTATTTATTTTCATTGAAGGATATTTGATTTATAGTATTGTGTTGGTTTCAGGTGTGACCGCAAAGTGGTTTGGTTATACATATGTATGTGTGTGTCTATATACTCTTTTTTCTATTCTTTTTTGTTACAGTTTATTACAAGATATTGTTTATAGTTCCCTGTGCTGTACAGTAAATCCTTGTTGTTCATCTGTTTTGTACATTGTAGTGTGCATCTGGCAATCCCCCGCTCCCAGTATACCCCTCCCCCCACCTTCCCCTTTGGTAACCATAAGTTTATTTTCTACGTCTGTGAGTCTGTTTCTGTTTTGTAAATAGGTTCATTTGTAGTTATTTTTTAAATTCCGCGTATAAGTGATAAAAAGATTTATTTTTAAATGGTGACTTTCCGTTCCTTTTTTCCTAGAACTTACAAGAAATGCATTTAGATAATGTATTTTTTTTATATAATCCAATTATACATGCACAGATAAATAAGGCAAGTTTCATAAAATGACACTGACTTCCCTGGGAGCCCTGACGATTTTCATTGTTTACTTACATTTCACTCAGAGAAATGATGCAGTGGCTCACTCAAGGGTTGGTACTCGTGATTGAAAGAATGCAGATTTTAGATCTCCGGATTGGTGTTCTTGGGTACCGTGGAGTGTTCCAGGGGTTGTAGAGACAGCTGCCGGCATGTTGCTGTTCTAGGTCAGAACCCATGAGATTGAATAAGTGACACTTTTTCTGCAGGCTTTCGCCTGCACCTGTGTTCCTCGGAAGGCATAAGGTAGAAATGGTCACCTAGGGATGGCCTCACTTGGGAGGAGAAACTATTATATTATATTTATACTATTATATTTCTCTGAAGGAGACTGAAGTTAGATTTGCCATGCTTAGGATTTAAAGATTTCTGAAATAAATTTAAGAAACAAAGTTCAAAATCCATATACAGCTTGGATAAAATTCTCTCTGAAACCTTTTTTAAAACCCTTTTCTTCCTTGTGTGGTTCAGAAAGAGTGGCAGACAAAGGGTCAGAGGCAGTTACGTGGTAACTAGGGAACTAGAACGAGGTTCCAGGAATAAAAGGCAATGTTGCAGCTGTATTTTCTCCTACACAGTCAGAGGCTTTATCCTCCAATTAGCCAAGGGGGCTGCATAGAGGAAGGGCTGCCAGGGCAGAATCTCAAAATGCTGGCCTCGAGCCGGTAAGTCTTATTTTATTGCCGCCTCATGGGGACATGTTCGTGTACCCCAAAGAGCTTGATGCCTCAAGACTGGTTTTCAGGCTGGAGCTCACATCCCTGCTCTACTGTTTATTAGCCTTGTGATCGGCTGGTTCCTGGAAAGAAGACACTGAGACCTGGGTTTGAGCGCAACAACTGATGGGAAAGCGGGACAGGTTAGGGAAGGAAACCAAAGGAAGGTGGGACTTTTTTCTTTCTTTTTTTTTTTAATTGTAGTAAAATGTTCATAACATAAAATTTACCCTTTTTGAGTGTACGATTCAGTGGTAGTAAGTGCATTCACGCTGTTGTGCAACCATTACCCCTACCTGTTTCCACAGCTTTTTCTGTCCCACGCTGAAATTCTGCACCTAGAAACGGTCATCTCCCACTCCCTCCTCCCCTGACCCCCGAGTAACCACTGTTCGGCTTTTTGTCTCTGTAAGTTTACTGTGGAATCATACAGTATTCGTCCTTTTGTGTTTAATTATTTCATCTTAGCATAAATGCAAGGCTCACCTAAGTTGTAGTGTGGGTCAGGATTTCCTTCCTTTTAAAGGCTGAATAATATTTGATTGTATGTATGGTCCACATTTCATCCGTCTGTCCATCATCCATCCATCAAAGGACATTTGGGTTGCTTCTGTGATTTAGCTGGAATAATGCTGCTGTGAATACTGGATGTGCAGTATCTGAGTGTCTGCTTCCACCCCTTTTGGCAACATTCCCCCAAAGTGGGATTGCTGGATCATGTGGTTCATTCTGGGTGTAACTTTTTGAGGAACCACCATACTGTTTTCTGCAGTGGCTGCACCATCTGACATCCCCATGAACGCGGCACAAGTGATCCAGTTTCTCTACACTCTTGCTGACACTAATTATTACATAAAAGGTATTTTAAGGAGCTGTTACCACTATGTGTACTCAGTCCTCCTGGGGCCTCTGGGAGGCACCTTGGAATTGTTCCAGCAGAGGGACAAGGAAGCTGGGGTATCCGCCTACTGACTCCTGTCCTGTTGGTTGAGGGCCACCTGCGATGGTCCTCAGGTGGAGAACTGTGGGTGCCTGCAGGAGAAGGCTGCGTGGTGCTGGAAATATGAGAGGACATGGACAGACCATGCTTCCTGAAGCCTCAGCTTCGTTTGACTCGGCTTCCTCATCCGTAGCCCCGGGGTGAAATCACCACATTCATATCCTAGGATGGTTACAAAATTACATGTGGGAGCGTTGTAAACTGGAAAATTCTCTCCACGTGGGAAATGATGCACTTCCTAGGAGGCCTTCTGTGGGGGTTGATAAATTTCTGAGGCTGCTGGTGACTTCAGGGAAACTACCGATGGTCCCGTTGCACCTGCCATGGAAGCACAAACACTGTGGTTTCACTGGACCAACAATTCAGTGCAGTGTTCCTGAGCTGGCATGTGGCTCAAGCGGCTAAAGCCAGCTTTCCCATTAAGTCAGGGCGGCTAACACGACATATTGTTCATTCACTCAATGTACGTCTTGTGTACCTGTCATTGTGCTTGACCCTGGCCCTCATGTCACCTGGTAGGAAAGAAAGTCGTCATACTCATAATTACCTGCAGTTAGGGTGGCCAAGATCTCAGCCTGCTTGGGACAGTCCTGGTTTACTCCTGTGACCTGGTCTAATTATGAAGAGATCGCCCCTTCACTCGTGAATATCTAGGTGTGAAAAGTATGTGGAAAGCATGTGGTCCCCACCCACGTGTTATCAGCATGCCATCTGATTAACAAACTCGAGGAGTTGTCACACGTCTCTCAAACACACATGCCAGTGCTTGTACAGCAGTTTGTTCATTCACTCATCATTCATTCATTCATTCAGCATACACTTTGAGTATCTTCTGGGTGCCAGGCATTTGGCACATGGGGTATCTGGAAAGACCACCGGAGGAGGTGAGACCTGAGTTCAGCCTTGAGTGAGGAGAAGGAGGAGGCAGCCACACAAAGACGTGAGGGAGGGACATCCTGGGTCGGGGGAGCGGTGAGTACAAAGGCCCTGAGATTAAAGTCCGGAGAGGTCAGTGTGGCCAGAGCACAGTGACTGAGGGGACAGTGGCCAGAAACGAGGTCAGAGATTGACCAGGGGCCAGATGAACCCTGAAGGCCATCTCAAGAGGTTTGGCTTTTATCATGCTTGCAATAGAGAGTTATTGGAGAGCTTCCCACAGGCGCTCTCTGACTGTGGGCGGAGAACTGACCGTAGGGGCGAGAGTGGATGCAGAGGGACAGATGTGGTCATGCTAGGAGCTGATGTGGTTGTCCAGGCGCCAGATGACCGATGGACCAGGGTAGTAGTGCTATTGCTTCTCTTTAGTTCAGATGGTAGATATTTTATGAGCTCAAATAATCGCTTTTCATCTTTCCAGCCCAACCTCCAATGTGCAGGCCACAGAAGTTTGATTTCTGATATTAGGCAAAGTCTCAACTTAACCAAGAAGTGTCAAGGAGGGCCAGGGAGAATCCAACAGAAGGTTCTTTTTCATGGAATCAGAAGCAGTGCTCAAAGGGCAGTGGATCGTCGTGGGTGTCATCACTCTTGGCTTCAAATATCTGGCACTGTTTCCCATGGCTCCCTTTGCAATAAGACGGTGAACTGTAGTCTGAGTAACAGCACAGTTAGGTGGATTCATGGCTGCTTGGACTTCTTTACCGGAGAGTGTTGATTTGTGGCTCTATGAAATCCTGGAGGGAGTTGCTGCCGGTTTGTTCTAGCCAAAATGCTCCTCAAGGACTTGAGAGGTGTGGGAGTTGGTTTCTCCTTTTTGCAGAGACCTTAGGCCAGGAGAGATGAGTCATGGTTGGAAGACAGACTCACGATTCAAAGAGCCCTGGAAGTTCATGTCCTCCTTTGTGCTTCTCTGTTGCCTCCATCTCTTCGTAGGTATCCGGTGTAACGTGCATCAGAATCAACCTGAATGCAATGTTAAATGCTGGCATCTGGATTCCATTCTTCGTATGTCTGGGGAGGACAGGAACATGTGATTTTTAACAAATGCCAATAGGATTCTGAGATAGGCGGTCTGGAGCCCACTATCTCCTCACTACCTTTGAACTCCTCGAAGGCCCAGATGGTCTTGTATTTTAGTGTGTGGTGCACAGAGCATTCTGCTTGGCAGTGAATATCCCAGCATCCATCCCCTTCATCCTGGGAGGATTGAGGCCCTCTGCCAAGGTTCTCTCAGCTTCCTTTCCTGCTACTTCAAAAGGCACCCTAACTTTGCAGAAGACCCATGTCTTCTCATTACCTCTTATTTCAGATGAGTGTGGACATTGGAACCACATGGGCCTGGGATCAAATCTTAGCTCTGTTACTGATTATCCAGGCCAACATTTCTCAAACCATTGCACCCACCAACCAAAGGACGAGCTCGTGAGAACAGATTCTGGGTCAGTAGACCAGGGGCGGGCAGGGTCTGGGCTCCGTGTGTCTAACAGGCTCCCAGGTGATGCTGAAGCTGGTAGTCCACGGGCTGTGTTCTGGGAGCGCATCTCGAGGTCTCAAGGCTGCAAGCAAGGTTGCTCAAGCACTTTAAACTCTCTGAGCCCACGCCCTCCATGGGGGAAAAACTGGAGGTTCTATTGGTCAAGGTTGCATTGACTCCATGTCATAGGAAGCGAACAGCGGAAACAATTCTGGGGTTTGTTTTTATCACTTAAAAAGCAGTCTAAGGATGGAGAGGCCAGGGCCAGTGCCCCTGCTCACGGACCCAGGCTCCTTCACTCTTCCTGCTTCACCAGCACATGGAGTTTAATCCTCAAGGTCATGAGATGGTGGGCAAAGGGCAAAAGCCACGTGCCAGCTGACCCTATTTTTTAAAAAATCAGAGTAAGTAGCAACTTACCCAGAGCCCCACGCTGACAACACACTGGTCAGGTCTGGGTCAAGGGACACTCCTGGCAGCTCAGGAGTGTGACAGGATGTCTTTTGGCTGCGCACGCTGCTGCCCTGCACAGAATCGGGGAGTAAGGAAGCAAGGAGGAGAGGACATGGTGGCCTCGAGCAGAGTGGGGTGCCAGTATGTGTTTTGTGATGTTGTGATGGGGTTGGTGAGGCTTAACGAGGTGCAGCCTAGCACCTGCCGCAGAGTAAAACTCAACACGTGGGTTTCCTTCCTTCCTCTCCTCTGGTCCTGAGCGCACCCCCTCCAGGAATCCCTGCGGGTAGGATTGCTTCTCTCTGGTGTCTCGAAAATCTGTTGGCTTTTCCCCTTCAGCCTGCCGGCTTACCTGTCTCTCCTAGTCTAAGAAACCCTTTCTTCCTGGTTTCCCTTCCTGCTCCCCGCCATCTCGCACACCTCCCCACCCGTCACCTTGACAACCCTCTGCACTGAATGGGCTTAAATGCCTATCCCTTCCCTAAAACTGCGTTCTCAAAAATCAGGAATCTCATCCTACCAATGAAGTCCAACTGTCTCTGTTCAGTGCCCGTCCCACGGGACCTCCTCGCAGTGTTCTAACATCACTGCACACACCTCCTCCTTAAAACACCAGCCTCATCTCTGAAGCACTCTGCTCTCTGGTTCCCCCCTCCTCCCTCTGGAAAGGCTTCTCTTTCCTTCCCCAGCTCTTCCTCTGCCTTTTCCTTGGAGGTGGGCATTTGCCAGGGTCTCTTCTGGATACTGTTCACCCTTCACACTCATTTCGTAATTTCATTCATTCCCAGAGTCTAGAGCCAAGGTCAGCAAACCAAAGCCTGTTGGACAAATTCCACTCGTCCCGTCTCCTCCCCAGAAGTCGCACTCCAACCCCAGTTTTTTAAATAAAGTTTTATTGGAACATAGACACATCCCAACTCATTTACATATCGTCTATACTGCCTCTGCACAGCAATGGCAGAGTTGCTACAGTGACCCTGTGGCCCATAAGCCTAAAGTGTTTACTGTCGCCCTTTACAAAAGAACCTTGCCAGTGTATGCTCTAGACTCTAAACAGTGTCCAAACTCACTCTGCTCCCTAGTCCTCCCTCATGCACTGCAGACTCATATTTCGATTACCTGCTGGACAATTCGACAGGATCTCCTCCAGCATCTCTAATCCAAGTTCCGAATTATCTTCCTCCTTAGAACTGTTTCTACACTTGTTCGCCATCAATTTCCATCAGTTACATCATCCGTGACCTACCTGAAGACCTTTGCAGCCAATTTATGACATCAGGACCACGGAGTTATGAAGGGCCCCCTGTTCAGACTTTCAACAGTATCCATCATGGACATTGAACTGGTTTTGCATTTAAAAATCAGTACGACGTTAGCAAAAAAACAAAACCAAAATATGACACTTGAATTCAGCTCTTTTTTCCTTAAAATCTCTCTCTAAATCACAGTGCTGGCATATTCACTTTAATGAAGTTCCCTATCTTCATGACAACAGAGGAGACGAAATTCCATAAACGTGATTTCTCTCCTTTGAGACAAAGAGCAATCAGTCAACATTTAAGTGCTTCCTTCCTGACTTCTAGTTATTTGATTAGCTGCAAGACTGCATTACATATTACTGAAGAAAATCTAAGGACCAACACATACACAATACCACAGTCAAGTTCAGTGTATAATTTACTTCTTCTACTTCCCCCGGTGAATAACCTTCTCGATGTATTACTTCTCAAGTTATTGGAATGAAGTATAAATTATTTGGCCTATTAAATTCTGCAAAAGTATCAAGCAAACATACCAAGATCGCTGGCAGTGTTGGGAGTCCCCGGGAAAAGCTCTTTGAACTTGGCTGGCTTTTTAGCAAAAAAAGTATTCAGAAGACCTTAAAAGCATTAGCAAAGACAAAGAGCCACCGTTGCTGGCCCTTGGTTGGTCCTTTCATCAGTCAGATCCCCGGGCATCTGCTTTTTGTCAGACAGCCGTGCTGGGCGCTGGAGTTGCCAAATGAATGAACCACAGAGCCTCCCTAGAAGACTTACAAGGATTCGGTGAGCCCTACTCACATTGTCAAATCAAATCCATGAGGCCGCAGAGCAAGTGATGCACAATATTTACAGAATGAGTGAGTGTAGGAATGGCATTCCCTGGATACGACTTTCCATCAATTACTGAGGGAAGGAGGTGACCATTTAAGTGCCTATGACATGACAAGTGTGTATTACTTCCTCAGTCTGCACTAGAGGCTGGGTAAAATTCTGAGCCTTGTCAGGGAATGATGGCAAGTCAAGAGATGGGCTGTGATAATCAGATTTCCCCACCCAGGGACCACATCATCCTGTCATACGGTGCAGCAGTCGTCAGCTCCTGTGAGCTCTTGTTTATATTTGAATGACTAATTGTGGTTCCAAAGCACTTTAAAATATGCCATATCTTTATTCCACCCCATAAAGCTGTGAGATATGTACTTTCATCCACATTTTGTAGGTAAAGAAACAGAGCATCAGAAAATTAAATGGATTGCCTACGTCCAGCTAGGGAGTGGTGGGTCAGAACCTGGAGCCTTAACCCCCTGTCTCAGTGTCTGTAAACCTTGTCACCCAAACTCTCCAAAGAGCCACAGAGCTCACGAGTTGGCGGGGAGCTGCCACCTTCATCTCGGGCCCCAGCTACTCACCAGATTGGAGTTGGCCCTTCCTCTCTTGCTTTCAAAGTTTGAAAGTCAAGTTTGAACATGGGACCTTGTGACCCCACAGCACATCCCTTCTTCATGGCTTGTCAGTAAGAATGAAAAGGAAATAATAAGACAGGAAGTAGCAACCAAGGCTCCAACGCTGAGTTCCTTTAGGAGAGAGAAGGCGCTCAGGTTTGGGTCCCAGCATGTGCGGCTGCAGGGCAAGGGGCAGGGGCCTGTCAGCTTGTACCTCAGGCCACAGACTCTGCGAACAATGCACCAGCTCCCCCCAGCAAGCCAGCCACAGGCCAGGCAGGCCATCAGTCTCTCACCCACATCCCGTTTCCTCGCTCCTCAGAGGCAGCCCATTCTTGCGCTTGTTACCTTACGCCAATTTACTGTACTGTCCCAGAATCCCATCTCTGTCTGGCTTCCTTGCACAGAATAATCAGAGGCCCCTTCCCCACACAGCTCAGCAAGGACCCTGAAGCCCCGCCCACCTAACTCAGCCATAACCGCCCAAGGTTGGAGACCCTTGAGTCAGCTGCCCGGCTGGCCTTCTTGGCTAAAGGTGACTGACTCTCACATGAACTGAGAACTTTCCTAACAGTGGAAAACAACTTCATCAAAGATAAATAACAAGGAACTTGTTCTCTGTGTCGCTGCCCCTGCTGGAGGCAAGCAAGTAAACAGTGATGACTGCCTCCCATGGGCAGCCCCTTGGCCAGACCCGTGGACCTGGCTCTCGGATTCTCCATGCATACAAATAAGAAGCCTGCTCAATGAACTGATCACTTAAATAGGCTTTTCCATCTGTGGAGTTTCAATTTAAAACACCGACAAAGCCATCTTTGCAAAATGTTCTCTAGTATTTCTCTCTTTCAATTCACTTAAATTAATTAACCTGCAATTGTCCTCGCAGCCATGTGACGGGGAGAGTTCCTAAGAACTGAGTTTCTTCTAAGAACATGAGCTTGCTGGCTTATTTGTTTCCCCAAGGGAGCATTGTCTTTTCTCTGCACTTTCCTGAGAGTTGTTACAGGGCTCCTGATTTGTTCTCTGTTAAACTGGGCATCTTTAGCCCGGGAAGGGTGTTAGGAAATGAAAGAAGAGAGAGGTCACGCGATCATACTCTGTGAACAGAGTTCACCCGAATTGGTTGAAACTTTTAAGAAAGCTCCCTCAGAATTTCAGAAATCACAGTGAACGAGCAGTGAAGATGGAGCATGAGATAAGACTGCCTGCAACAGACATGCAGTCAGCAAGGTCATTCCACCTAACTACACCCCACCAGGCAGAAAGAAAGTCAAGTTCCCTAACTCACATGTAGGGAGGAAAGGAGGCGAAGGCGAGGTTCTGGCTGAATCAATGCCAACCACACTGTCAGTGGTTGAGAAGAAGAGCAGAGCTAAGACAGGAGGGCAGGGGGCAGGACACAGGAACGACACAGCAATTAGCACCAAGATGGTGGAAAAGTCAACTCCCAGTAGACCTGGAGGCCCAAGGTGGTGGGAGATTCGACCTCCAGTGGGCCTGGCGCTTCATTGTACACATTGTAGTGTATTAGCCTGGTGAATGACCTGAGGCTGACCATGAGAGGTCAGAGAGAGGGCGGTGGCCCAGTTCCTGGGAATCCCCGCCCCCTCCCCAAAGTAGTTGGAATAATCTCCTCACTTGTTAGCGTATAAAAACTAGCAACACTGCACCTCATGGTCACACGTATTCTCTCTCTCGTCTTCTCAGACGCCTGCACTCCGTCTATGGAGTATGTAGTGTGTATCTACCTTTACTTTAACCAACTCCCCCTCCACCCTCCAGAGTACATCTCTCTAAATCTACTTTTACTCAACTATGGCTTGCTCTTGAATACTTTCCTGAGTGAAGCCAAGGACCCTCACTTGGCAGGGCATGTCCCAGGGACTCCACTGAGACCTGGGACAAAGCCATCCTTGTGTGCCCCCACCCACCCCATTTTTCTGTATCAGTCATTAGCTCAAGTCCCCTCCGTGGTGGGAAGTGGTTAAGAGCAGGAGCTTGGGAACCAGACTGACAGGGTTCAAATCCCAGCTCCACCACTCACTGGGTGGCCCTGGGCAAGCTACTCACCTCTTTATGCTTCAGTTTCCTCCATGGAAAAGATGAGAAGAATAATAGCATCCCTGATAGGATAATTGTGAGGACTCTTTGATTAATGTATATAAAGCTGTTGGAATATTGGCATAAACCATCTGTGTGTTTGCTAGGATTCTCTGCATGCAGTAACAGAACCTCCATTCTCCCGGGCCTTTGTGAAGTAACTCTGTGTGGGCTGTACATGAACCTATACATTCTTGGAATTTTTTCCCTATTAATTTAATAAGCATTTATTGAGTGTCTGCTACATGCCCATACCGGTCCAGGTAGAGCAGATTAAAAACATGAGTTAACCTTCAGAATTCCCACCACTTACTAAGGAAACAGACATGTAACAGAGAAGTTAGACTTCTGGAATGACCAACTGAGGAATTGTAAATATGCCCATCCAACAAAGCAACTAAAACACTGTCTGAAATAGTCAAAATCAACTATTTTAGAACTATGGCTATTAACCAAAGGCTTGTGACAATCTGAGAAGCATTTATTGAGGAAAAAACTGAGCCTCTGAAAGAACAGCATTGCCTATTGTTGACCTACTCGCATTTTTCCCTTGATCTACTCCCATCCTTCCTTCCCTAACTCCATGGTAGCTTTGAAAACCAGCAGCCTCACAACCACAGTGGGTGTGAAACCGGCAGCCTTGAAGCTACCAGATAGAGCAGATCATGTTTGGGCACCTCAGAAAGTTTCTTCAGACACAGCACTGTCACTGTTTGATCTATTTCAGCATTCCCTGAAGAGGCCCATTGACAGTGCTTCCTGACTTGCACCGGGTTGTGGTAAAAGCCCTATCCTTAAAGCACTTAAAAAAAATAGTCAGCAGCAGCTACTTAACATTGCAGCTGCCTGAGGCTTCTAAGCCACATGGGGTAAACAAGAGCTTGATGAAGAAGTTGAGAAGAAGATCTGGAGCAGGATGTCTGTAGGGGTATTGGAAAGTTTTGAGCGGTATGAGGCATTCTTTCCTGGGGATCTAGAAGGTTGTGCATATTCTTGAGTCTTTGTACATGCCTGGGAGGGATCTGGGAGGGCCCTGGTATCTCCCCATGGGGTGACCCAGAGGCCTTGCACAAGCAGGAAGTAAAGGGTAAGGCAGGTTTTGAACAATTTGAATATTGAAGGTTGTACACAGAGCCCTTTGGCAAAGGGTGGAAGACATAACGGTTCAAAGCATTTAAGAAACTCTCTGATCAATCATTAGCTGCTCATAAAGCTAAGCAGAGACTTCAGTGACCAGACCATTATAGACTTTAAATAATTAGTCCAGAAATGTCACTAAAAGATACAAAAAGTAACAGCAACAATAATTTTTTAAAAAACCTAGGGAGGGGAGAGATCTGATTCTCAGAGTTGCCACATTATATTGTAAAAAAAGTCTCCAGTTTTCAATAAAAGATTATGAAACACAAAAGGAAATAGAAAAATATGGACCATACACAGGGAAAAAAAAAAAGCAGTCAATAGATTCTGACCCTGAGTGGGGTCCAGATGTTACACTTGCTAGTCAAAGACTTTAAATCAGCTATTTTAAATATGTCCAAAGAGTTACATGAAACCATGTGTAGAAGAATTAAAGGAAAGTAAGACAATGATGTTGCACTAAATATATATCAATAAAGAGATAGAATTATTCTATCCAGTTCTGGAGCTGAAAAGTACAGTGACTGAAAAGTCATAAATTCACTAAGTGAGGCTCAATAGCACATTTGAACTGATGCAAGGGAGAATCAGTGAACTGAACAAAGATCAATGGAAATTATCCAACCTGAAAGATAGAAAAAAGAATGAATGAAAGAGAGAAGATCTCGATTGTGGTGGTGGTTTCATTAGTGTATACATCTATTAAAATTCATCAAATTCTACATCTGAAATATGTGTAGTTTACTGTACAGGAACCATACCACAACAAAGGTATTTAAGAATAAACAAACAAACAAACAAACAAATAAATAAATAAATAAAATGAGCAGAGCCTCAGAAACATACGGGTTATTATCAAATTCCCAACATATGCATAATGGGAGACTCCGGAGAGGGAGAGAAATGGGGACAGAAAAAATATTTGAAGAAATAATGGCCTCAAACTTCCCAAATATGATGAAAGACATGAATCTATACATCCAAGACAGTTAACAAACTCCAAATAGAACAAACTTAAAGAAATAAACCTAGATGCATTATAGTCGTATTGTTGAAAGATGAAGACAGAGAGAATCTTGAAATGAGAAATGACTAATCATGAGGGTAGATGATCCTCAGTAAGATTAATAGCTGACTTCTCATTAGAAACTTGGGAAGCCTGAAGCAGTCAGATGATACATTCAAAATGCTGGGAGAGGAGGAGAGAGGAAGGAAGAGAAACTGTGAGTCAAGAATTCCATAACCAGAGAAACTATCCTTCAAAAATGAAAAAGAAATGAAGACATTCTCAGATGAACAGAAACAGAAATGTGTTGCTAGCAGACATACCCGACAACAGAGTAAAGGAAATCCTTCAGGCTGAAATAAAAGATGCTAACTGGTCATTTGAATCCACACAAAGAAATTAAGAGCACTGGTAAGGTAACTCCAAGGTAAACATAAAAGAGTATAAAGTATTTTTGTACATCTTTTCTTCTCTTACATGCTCTAAAAGATAACCCATAAAGCAATAACTGATGAGCTTATAATGCATAAAGATATATATGACAATAATACCACGACAGGGGAAGAATAAAATGGAGCTATATGGGAGCAAAGCTTCTGAACGCTATTGAAACTGAGTTAGTATTAATATGAACCAGACTGTTTTAAGATGCTAATTATAATCTCCTGGACAACCACTAAGAAAATAACCTCCATAATAGTAATAAGATGAAACAATAAGTCAATTAAAACGGCACATTAGAAAATATCTAAAAATCTGTTTAACTCAAAAGAAGCCTTTGTTGTTAGGTGCAAATATGTTTATGATCCTCCTGATGAATTGACCTTTTTTTATTTTTTAATTTTTAATTTTTTTTGTAGATTTATTTTTTTAACATTTTTTATTGATTTATAATCATTTTACAATGTT